AAAAAAAAAAAAAAAAAAAAAAAAAAAAAAAAAAAAAAAAAGAGAGCACAAGTTTATATAACACAACCTTGGTTCTTCGAAGATGAAAGAAATGTGAAGAGGAAGAACAGGTGAGGAAAAATAAAACATCACATTTAGGGGAAAATTACCAAAATGAAATAAGCACATGGAAGCAAAGTAACATCATGGGATGACGCCCACATTTTGGCTGATCATCCTTTTGATGATTTCATTAAAGAAACATCCTGTTCTGTGTGAAAAGAAAAAATGCGCGTTCTTATTAAGTGTAGTAATAAGTAAATACAACAACAGCAGTGGAAGCAGTGAATCGAATAACAACACGTCTTATGCTACGCAATCACATTTTGTGAGAGAACAAAAAAAAAAAAAAAAATTTATTCAGAATGGAAGGAATTTATTGCTAAACAGTAAGACGCCAAGTGTGTTATGCGAGTTTAACGTAGAAGCAGAGAAGAAAATTTATTTTCACAACTTATTTAATTTGAGCTTGGTAGACGTATTAACCATTTTTAAGCTGCTACTGCAGCTGAGGAAAATAACTTTATACAAATATAATAACAACATATCATTTACAGCGAGGGGAGGAAAAAACGGAGACAACTCTTATAAAAGCACAATTCACACTTATCTGCTATTTTTAAAAACATATTTATCGAGAAATGAACATGGAGAAGACGCGCTATTAGAGGTGTTTAGGCGTCTCCAATTTGAGAAGAAAACGGAAAAGCAAATCGACGTTACGGCAAATTATGATGGAAGGTGTAGTGAAGGCATTACCACCGATGGATATGTTCGAAATGGGACAGAAGCACACCCCAAGTTGGGGGCTAACAAAGAAAAATGCACCGTTATGTACATTTTAAAAAAAGTTATTCGCAAGTTGAATGTTGACATAAGGGAAAAAGGTTACATAAATAATGTGCGCGATAAATCATTCCTATTTAAATTTCTTGTAAACAAAAAAAAATTTCGCATTTTATCATTTTATAAGAAAATAAAAGGGGTGTACTACTTGTACCGAAATGTTATGTACATGCAGGTAAACAGACACCTGCAAAAAGACATAGCACTAATAAGCCTTGTATCCACAAACAAATCATTCCTAGAAATTGAGAAAAACAAAATATCAGTTGATCCGTTTTACGTAAAATATTATTATAAATATCATATGAATAAGTTGTTGCGCTTATCTGAACAATTGTTTCTCTTGGGGCGTAAACCCATCGAGGAGAGCAACTTAATACATCTTTCACAAATGAAAGCGTGTAATGGCATACATGAGGAACTGCGTCCACGTCAGTTTTCTTCCCAGGAAAACAACCGCATTTGGAGCCGTCAGTTTATCCCAAATGAAACAGATAATAAAAATGGCATACAACAGAACTCAGTAACGCGTTTGAAAAGAAAGGACGGCATAAACATTAAGGTGATCAATGTGTATCTGAATGGGAAATTCTCCGTCGCGTTACCACTCGTCTTAACGTACAACATAAACAAAGATATTTTTTACTTAAACGATTTGTTCTACCTTGATGGAAGCAAGTATGATGTGAGCAGCATACTCACCCGAAGAGAGATTTATTTCAATAATTTATCCTTTTTTGAGTGCAAAAATTTCAGCTACCTGAACAATGAAAATATTATCCTAAATAGTGACAACCTTCATTTCGACTTAAATTATGTTCTCCTGTTTTACTACTTATATTTCAATGAGGGGAAAAAATTGTGCATCCGTCGGCATATAAATCCGACCTTTTATTGTTACCACCCCGTAGGTAGTCAGAAAGGGGAGAATAAGAAAAGGGTGCAAAGGATTGTATACCGGGCTGATAAGAATATCCTAAATTTCGTTTTTTGAAATTTTCACACTGGAGTGGTGCTGGAGCGGTGCGCCGTTCTGTCATCCACTAGTGCAATATAGTCTAAGCCTAGGGGAGTTACACCCACCTGTTATTATTATTTTGGCCCCTATGTGTTATACTGTACTCACATTTGAAAAAAAACAAAACTAGCCATTTTTTTGAATTTCCTCTTTTCACACATACGCGTTTATTTACGACAAAAAACGAAATTAAAAAAAAATGATTAAATGGGTTTGTAATTAGATACACAGATGGTGGGTTAATACTTACCCACGGGTTTGACCCCTTGTATGCAGGCACGTGCTGATGCGATGTCGCGGTTTTGTGTGCCCCATGTATTGCAACTGTGGGTTCACATGAACGGGTCCAAACAGGGCCAATTGTTAAAACAAAAAAAAGGGACAAAACAAAACAAAGGATTAAGCTGGGTGATGCTCGAAGTGAACACAGATATGTCCGAAGTTACCAACGCGATTCTCGAAGTGACCAGGGCGGTGTGGCAAAGTCTCTCCCTTAAATCAACCTCCTTACGTAGTCGTCAATGAATGCGCTCGCCGACTTGTAGTTGATGTGCATCTGCGAATCACGTTGACTGATTTGACTTTTCAAAAGGCCTATAATTCTGTTCTTAAAGTTTTGCTCATTGAGGACAGTTTTTTCCCCATCGAATTTTAAATGGTGTATATTATCGTCAATCAGTTTTTTCAAATTTTGCTCCATTTCTACAACGTTCACGTGTTTAAATGTTTCGAGGAGAATCTCATTTTCGAATCCTACATCCACATAGTTAGAGAGGAATGCCTTCAAAGAGGTGTTGTCTAAGTTGTTCTTAATAGCATAGTTAATGAGGAAGCACAAGTTTTTCGGCTTTATTAAGATATTTTTGGAAAGCATATTTTTCTTTTTTAGGACATCAAGGAGTATATTAACTATAAAATTGGACACATATTTTTCTTCCTCAAATTTTATGCATTCATTAAAATAGTTATACAAAAAGGGATCATTCAGAAAGACATGAAAATATTGCTTGGACCAGTTATACTTCACTTCATCCTCGTATATTTTTATTTTATAATTAACATAAAATTGTAGCAGCTTTATAATACGTTTACTAAGCTTATATTGCGGGATGTTCCTTTCGTGCACATAATTATATACTTCCTTTTTCCTGACAACGTAGTGCGTACTGTCTAGGTAGCTTTTTGTATACATTTCGTTCGACTTTGTGTGGTAGTTTTTTTCCATCCCCTTTGTGAGAATTCCATTAATAAAATTTTTCTTCTCCTGCTCTATGCAACTCTTAATTTTTCTGAAGCTGTTAACATTTTTGATTTCAACTCGGCTGTACTTCACATTATCGTATTCAAAAGATATGTTAATGTCTGACCTGATATTTTCCTTATTCCCCACGCATACCCCGAGTAGGCACACTTTATTTTTTATCTCCTTCAGTAGGTTAATGCACTCTTCTGTGTTCATGTAGTCATCTTCTACTACGATTTCGGCTAACGGGATTCCGCAGCGGTTATAATCTAGTAATATTTTCTTGTTCAGATGATTTACTTCGTTAGGATTATTTGATGGGTAATCGTCTGGGTTACAATTATCAGAGACCGGTTCGTCAGCGTCGCTGTTGCACCCTTCACCATTTATGTCCCCCCTCTCCTTCTCCCTGGCGCCACCACCATTGTTAGGGTTCAAAATGGCCTTGTCCATCCTAAATGCGGTTTCTTCCCCATCGCTGCTACTTTTCGGAGGGGCACCCCCCCAGTCCAGCATATTCACACTTCGTGGAAGTAAGAAACACTTGCTCGTGTCTTCTTCTAGGTGGACGCTCTTTATGCGAAAATTCTTTCCCTTTGCAGAAATGTTACCATCGAAACCAATAGGCGTTTCCTTTTGCGTAATCTGATAACCTTTTGGCAAATCATAATAATTATAAATTTTTCTATCAAAGGTGATAATATTGTTTAGGTTGCAATTAAGAATAATACTAATTAGGTATGTGAACAAGACAGCTGTGCTATTCAGTAAACTCAGGGAGCCCACCTCGCCTACACACCTGTTGCATATGTGTTTGTTTGGCCTATTAATGGAATACATAGGGTCTTCACTAATGCATTGCTTCGTCTCTGCGGAAATTCCCCCCCCTACATCATTCCCCGGAGGTATTCCCTCTCCTAGTGAATTCAAATATGCTGCCTCATTTCTTGTCTTCAAAATGTTATCTTTTAAGAAATTGCACAAATCGATATAATTCCTCTCATACGTTTTATCGTTATGTGAAGAAGCGACATTAAAGCAGTTACAGAAGGCTTTATATTTTGTGCTCAGCTGCACATGGATTTCCACCCCAATTCTGCACTTTACTTTCCTTTCGATATCGGCATAATTGGCTATGTCCTCACTGCCCCTTGTTAGGTTATTGGTAACCCTAATTCTAATTCCTCTGGGCCTTTTTCTTTCCCCCTTATTACAGACGAGGAAGTCCCCCGTGCGGGTCAGGTGATTTAGTCTGTAGCAAGTGAATATCTCGGTTGAAATGAAAATGAGAACCCAGGGGATGAAGGCACGAACGATCATTATACGTTTATATATATATTTGTGTAGTTATATGTGCGTATAAACCACGCGTGCTGTTTTCCTGTTTTTCCTGCTTATATAGTGGGTAATTGCTTCTGCAGGGGAGGTATCGAATGGTTAAGCCGCGCTGCTATGCACGTACGGGTGGAATGCGCGTATTTGCTTCCAACTTTTTTTCGCGTCATTGTGTACCTCCCGCGTGCCAAGTTGTCATTACCATAAAGGTATACTGTTTCATGACACCGCTACACCAATGTGTTATTAGAAAAGGATAAGGCGGTAATCCAATTTGTGCATAATTTGGGCAATACAACTGTTGGGGAAGCACCTTCTGCGTTACGTGCGTATATAACAACGTGCATAGAAAGGTGCGTGTGACAATAATCAGATGTGCTGGTGCACCACCTGTTTTATATCCCCGTTGTGTTGCTGACCTTGTATCGCAGCCCGGAATGTAGGTTTATGCACTATGTGTCCTTATTATACGTCGCTTCTGCAGTTCTGCGCCGATCAACGTTCATTTCTAACCCGCTTTTATTTGAATAACATTTGTATCTGCCCGTTCCTCATTTGTGTGCGCCTTTTTTTTTTTTTGCACAAAACTTCCCCTCCCCCTCAATTTTTTCTCCCAGCTAGCCATTTTCAAGCAACGCGCAAATGAGCCCTGCGATGGGATCGCATTTGCGGAAGAATGTACAGAAATTTAATGCAAAACGAAGGGCTTAACCAAATATAGAACTGTTGCAGGAAGTGGACGTTGCAAAATGATTATTATTAACAACAGGCATGGGGACATAATCTCTAAACTTCCTGTTCACCTTAATGAATATATTAAAGGGAAAAAGAATTATCACAACATGTTTATCGAATTTTGAAAGAAGGGGAGGTGGCGGGAAAAGTAACATCTGTGCATTCCACACCAAGGGAAAGTGGAAGAACAAAAAAATAAAAGGTGTAGCTGATATCAATAAGGGGACAAACATTTTAAAAAGTTTATGTAATAAAAACATTATCAATCATTTGGACCCTATAAGTTTAATTGAAAATCTGAAATACGTAACTGAGTATATTGTAAGCGAAGATGTCATTAGGAATTATCTAAACAGAGTAAAACTCCTAAACGAACAATGGAGCCTTAACAAAATATATTTCATTCTAAAAACTGTTGTGAAGTATAACCTTCGCGATGTTGTCCTGATGAACAAGCTGGAAAAGACTATTAACGAGTTAGTTCCACTGTGTCAAGAAAACAAGGCAGAAAAAGACCCTTTTGAAAATGTGTATATTGTGAGGATATCCTACATCCTACATGCGTTCTGTCATTTCGGGTATGAAAATTGTGAAGTAGTGAAAACCTTAGTAAACATTTTAAACACCAAGTTGGACTACATCATTTTTCATAGCAACTATGTGAGTCCAGTGTTTAACGATTGTTCTCTGTTATGTGAGGAAAACGGCCAATGTGTTGTGAGCGGGGGTGCCTCACATTCCGCGTTACCCATGTTGGGTGACACAACCTGTGGCGAAGCAAGGGGCAATGTAAACACAGTTGAGGTCAGCCATATGTTCGACATGATTGACCCGTCTTACGTGGATGATGAGAGTGGGGTGCGTGCCAACCCGTGTTCTAACCCCGACGTGGAATGGCCAAGACGCGGAGAAGTCTTTGTGAGGAACATAAACTTCAACGAGATCTACCTCATTGTGAACACCATGAAGGGCTCGAAGCACACAAATAAGGTCTTCCAAAACAAGCTCAAATTTCTGTTTTATTTTAACTGCATAAACTTAGACAGGGGGAATGATAGCCACTACAAATATGTTACCCTTCTCTTCCATTTCTTTTACGAAGCGGCTGACATGCATCTGTCAAACATTATGAAATATTTTCTAGCAAAACATGCAGATATGAACAATGTGCATGATCTGGTTTTAACGCTGGTCACGGTTTACTACGGGGGAATGGAAAAAAAAGGGAACCTGAGCAGTATGAGTACAAGCGAGAAAATTCCAGGGGACAGGGCAGTTCACAACGAAGCACATCTTAACAGTACAAATAGAAAAAACCTGAAATATACGCAAAGCGATGATATAATTAGCATCATAGAAGGCATTCCTTTTATCTCTAATGGGAAGAAGCAAAAATTGAAGGCGATTCTGCAGTACGTGGATGAGCACAGCAGTGTTAGAAGTAAGAACTTTGTCGATATTGTATACGAAAAAGTTTTACACGTGTTGAGGCGTAAATATGAAGAGGAAGAATTCGAAACGGAAGAAGCTGGTGACCCTAAGTTGTTGCAAAATGTTGAAAGAACGATGAAAAGGAGAGCAAATGCAGCTTCTGCATCCCGAAGTAATAAATCGAGTGAATTACAAAGCTTAACCGAGTTGGTCAAAATTCGCATCTTCACATTTGGAGAAGTAGATTCTTTATTTTATTTGTACTTAAAAAATAATGTGCACCTTTTTAATATAGATGCGGTACTGAACATAATGAAGAGCTTTATTTTTGTGTACCAAATGCAGAATGAGTTGAGCAAAAACTACCATAGGGTACATCTAAGTGATAGATATACAAATGTTGTAAGAAACAATTTAGGCAATCTAACAAGTATGATCATTCAAATGATTAGCTGCATGTCCTTGGACAAACTTTATTCCTTATGCAGTTTGAAAGATCTGAGCATGCTGCTTTATTTCTTCTACCAAATAGGTAATATTTTTGTGAACCCAATATTTGAAGAATTGTACTTAAAAAAGGTACAAAGTTATGTAGACAGTATTGTAATTACCAAGTTGAAGTTACTTCTGGGTGAAGCAAGACAGGATGATCACTCCCAAACTGGCGTCATCGCAGATGTGTGTGGGAAAAAAACAGAAGGAGCATGCAGTGTGAAGACGAGACAGAATAGCACACAACCTAGATTACACACAAATGCAACATATTCGAGTGAGAAAAAAGAAGTACTGCATAATCGTGGGAGTGACAAACTTGGCGGTGCCATGCAAAACTCCCTTAACATACCAAACGGTGGGGAGAATGAAAGAAAAGACACTGATGGATTTTTGCCAAATGTGCATTTCCCAATTAGCGAGTACGAGGAACAGGGCGATCCAATTGACGCCCACATTTTACTGCTGAATATGTACAGCAAAAGGGGACAAAACAAAAATATAATTCATATGTTGTTGGAGATATTGAATAGGCGCCAAGTAGGAAGGAAAATAATGCCTTGCACAATTTACGTAAATTTACTAAATTCCTTTGCCAAACTGAGGTACAGAAAGTTGGATTTAATCGACACCTGTTTACACAAAATTAGTGAACACTCGGGGGAGTTGCATTTTTTCGAGTACACGAATTTGCTCATCTCCCTATCCAAGCTTAACGTGTTTGCTGTTAATCTGACTATGTACGATGGAGTGTTTTCCCCTCAAGATGATCGTGCCCGCCACTGCACTTATCAGGAGGAGACAAACAGCATTTTCCTAAATGAGTACAACGCTGAGGGAACACAACAATTGGGAGGGGCAAAAATTGTCCAGAATTTAAACAAAATTTTGAAGCAAATAAATGAAAGTATAAGCAACTTTGTTGCCATCCCAAATTACAAAATGGCCAACGTCATACCAAACATGCTCAGTAGTTATACAGTTGTGGGGTTTGACAAAATTGATTTTAAAAATTTGAATAAACTGTTGGAGTGTTTGCACGATTATGTATTTGGTTACTTCGGAGAAGGACGACTGAGCGATTTTAGGGGTAGTCCAAGACATGATAAAAAAGGCGCTGTTGGCGACACCCAGCTGCATGAGGACGCAGCTAAGGGCAGTGAACACTCATATTTCTACCAAGACATTCTCACCTGCATGAATAATCCACTCAGAAAAAACCATTACTGGTACTTTAGTGAAAAAAACAACGTCATTGTTAGGAAAAGAGACACAAATGAAACGCTGTATCTTCCAATTCAGTGCTTGTACCAAGTGTACGTTTTTAATGTCTACTTCATGGCGTACGTGCAGAGCGTATTTAGTTCTTACGGATGTGGCAAAGTGGGCTTAGGGGAATTACCAAATGGGCAGGCACTAATTGGCCAATCTGGTGGAGAAAACAGCTCATCAAGCCTTCCACACAGTACAAATTTATTTTTAAAAAACAGCTCAGTTGTTAAAGAAGCAGAAGCGTCCACCCATTTAAGCGAACGCAGCAAATGCATCCTAAATAACATTACTTTTTTTGTCAAGTATATAAACAATTTTTATAAAAAGAAAAAGTATGAAAGGTACAATCTTTGTACGCAGTTTGTGCACAGCTGTGAGGATAAGGCAGCCTCAAACGAGCAGCTAATTGATTACGTAAAAAAGTGTCGCATGCAAATGAAGAAGGACATTTCGAATGTGCTTTCGTCCAGTTTTCACAGAGAGGTCTTGTCCACGCTGCTTTCACTGGGCTTCAAAAATGTGCAGTGCGAGGTAATGAAATGGAATGGGCGCCATCTTCGCGCAGCGGTAGAATATGCGTAGGAGAGAAGCTACTTGTTGTGTGCGTCAGAGAGGTGGTGCCCTGTCCACCATCTTTCCAAGGATTCGTCACAAAAATTGCATTGCTTCTTTACCCCATTCTTGCCCCTTTTTCTTTTTACCATTCTTTTCACCGCTTTTCCCTCGAAGGTCCCATTCATGGATGGAATATACACAGTGGACATCGTCATTAACAATGCGGTAACGCAAATGAAGTGCATACTTGAATACAATATTGTTCGAACATGCCAACCATTTAGTGAACACACAAATGTGCACGTCTTTCCCTTTTTTTGTTCCCACCGTAGGTATGCATAGAAATTAACGGAAGCAACCATTACTACTATGACAACAACTTGAAAAGGTCAGGTGAAAAACTCGATGCCCTAAACCTGATAAAGTATTACTTGCTGAGCAAAAAGTATAAATTAATTTTGGTCTCTTACCTGGATTGGAATAATCTAAAAAGTGCTGAGGAGAAGAAGGACTACTTGGTGAAAAGGATCCACACATAGAATCCATGTCGTGAAACTCGAATCATGGGAGAAGGATGCTGCTGCATTCATTTTAAAAAAACTCTTCTATAGTGATGCAAATGTTCCACTACAAAAAAAAATGTACAATTGAACAAATGCTACCGTAGGGAATACCATCAAATGCACATTTCCACAAAAAACAAAATTGGATGTGATAAAATGGTGGCTTCACAAAATGGTGTGTGTTGTACCTATTATCTGTGTCGATAGAGCGATTATGTGTGCCCCCGCTAAAGCACATACTAACTGGGAGAGCGTAGTGGGGGAGTAACTTCCTCCCCCCAAAAGTGTCTACCTCCGTGCTGTAATACTATCCATGAAGGATTGTATATTATGTGTGTCATTTTCCATGGAAGCATTTTCTGGAAGGTAGTTATAATTGCAGTGCAAATGCAAGCGATACACATGCGTTTGAACGTTATGGAAGTTCAGTTTTTTGTAAATTTTTAGGGCGACCTCGTTATCCACAGTCAAGTCGCATCTGTTACATTGGTATATGTATTTAAGCACATAGATACTTATGTACATAATTAATAAACCGAATCCTCTGTTACGATAATTTTTATCAACAACAAGTCTTTCAATGCGTGAGTCGAAGAATCTGCCCATGTGAAAGAGCAAATATATTTCTGTGTACCCCACTATATGTTTCCCGTCTAAGTTATATTTTTTTAGTTCCTCACGGATGTCACTTCCATTTAGTATTGCTTTTGTGTCGTGCTTTACTTCCCCTTCTTTGAAGTACTTTTTGTTTTTTTCTATTCCTTTTTTTATGATATCTTCTATGCCCAAAATGGACGATTTTAAAAATTTCGGGGGGTTAAAGTCTCCAATATTTTTCCCGCACGAACTGTCCTTATCGTACATATAGAGGACATACGGATAATAAAAGGATTTGCCTAACATTTCAAAGAAGATTATGTCCCCGAAAAATAAATTACACGTTGTGACATCTCGCAGGAGACTGTTGCAAACGGTTAGGTATTCATAGTAAGTAGATATTACCTTAAATTTAAATTTATAATTGTTAAAAAGGAAAACATACTTGTACAGTACCTTTTTCTTGTTTAGCACGTTTAAATAGGATCTCTTCCATTCATCAGGTTTAGTTATAACTCGCAGGTTTTGTTCTTTGCTGTTTTCCATTTTGAATGTCACTAACACGGCTGACTTAGCCGTCAGGGCGCAAATTACACTATGCGAAAAAAAAAAAAACAAAAGTCCCAGTTGTTATTTATAAAATGAAAAAGATACCCGTTAAAGGAAACCTCATAGGAAGTTTCTTCACATAGTATCATCTCCCTAAGGCGGTGGGAAAAAAAGTAACGCTGACTGTGCAGCAACTTGACAACAACTTGACTTTTTCGGAAATTGCTTCCTGATTAACCTTTCTGCAGAGCAAGAAATTTCCGCTCATGCGGGTGCTTCTCTTCTTGCTCTGCCCACAAATGTGTAAAGTGGGTACCGAGCAATGCGGTCATATGCAAGTATACTTTTATGTGCATATATAAAGCCAACTCGGGGAAAACGGTCACGTACGTGTGCTTATTTTCGCAAAGAAGGGGTTGGAAGCTTCTTACAATGCTTCTACTTCAATTACGTTGTGCCCATCAACATGGGTGTGTACGATGTGCGACACTTTAATTTAAAAAAAAGATACATACACCGTTGTGATAGTTAAATAAGCGCTTATAACTACATTCCATTTCGTTAACTCTTGTTCGTTTCAATGTGCAAAGCGTGGGAGAGGTTCATAAATGTAAAATTTGAAAAAGGAAAAAAGTTACTACATGCAAAAACGCGGTATTTGCCATCAGGTCCCAATTCATACGAATAATTGGCAGAAAAAAAAAAAAAATGTTTTAAAAGTGATACTCAAAAATGTATACGCAACAATGCGGTACAAGATATACATGCATTGTGTATGAAGAGGACACCTGCCATTGTGTACATGATGATATCACCTCAAGGGGGATATATATATCGCATGACATTTATTTCTACGCTGAAGGAGAGAACGAATGGCCAGCACTTGTATAGCGAAAAGCGCTTCAAATTATACTTGTCCAAAAAAAGCTGCCTGCACAAATCAATTCTTAGTCGTATGAACGAAGCAGATACGGTTGGGGAAGCAGTCTCTTTTTTAAAAAGTTCGAACTGTTTGTTCGTGTGTAAGAGAGCACGATTTAGTTCCATGCCTTATTTGGTTACATTTGTGAACAATGATGGTAGACCCTTCTATCCTAGTTTTGTACACGAGGAAGACTTACCTCTCCCCCCCATCTCTTCGCAGAATCTATAATCAAGTTGAGATATGGGCATTTTTTACGAGCAACTTGTCATACATTTTGTGATAGTTACTAGAGAAGAGAACATTGTAGGGAACGGGAAAGGAGGTGGCGAAATGCTCCTTCTTAAATTTAGCTATATCACTATGCGTGTAATGCTTCAATTCAGTGACTGTTTTAAATTGAGTTAGTAATTTTCCGTGGTCCCATATGAGATGTAATTTTTGTTCCACCTTTTTGGGGGTAATGAAAAATTGCTTATTTCCATCCATGACATTGACACAGACAATTTGTTGATTCACAGAAGGGGGTGCTTCATCAAAATGTTGGATAACGTCATGGGCAGCTAAATTATCATCTGCGTATAATTGGTAGACCATCTTTCGGTAGGGAAAATTAGCTTTTTTATTTTCATTTGTTAATTTAAAACAGGGGTGTTTATTAATCTCGACTAGTTTGTATACAAGTCCTAGGGAAGGCTGCGACTGACATGTGATTAGGTTTGTGCCAATGGCAAAAATATCCACATGGTGCTCTTGTGCGTGTAATTCTTTTATTACTTGCTCGTTAAGATCATTACTAATGCATATTTTTAAATCATGAAATGGGACATTTAACTTTTCAGATACATCATTAAATATTTTTTTGCACTCCGTTGTGAGGTAACTTAAATTGCCAGAATCGAGTCTTATTCCAATTGGCTTGTAATTTATTTCATGCAAGGATAAGGCAACAATTAAAAAATTGTAAATCCCCGATTGTAAGGAGTCATACGTATCTATAAGGCAGATAAAAATTTTAGGGTTAATTTGTGCAAATGAGACAAAGGCAGTCAGTTCACTGTCCTTTGCGAATTTGCAATTGTACAGTTTGTGAATGATCTCTTTGTTCTTATGTACAATGTTGAGGAAGTCATGACCGTCTAGATATTTGTTAGGCAACGTTTCACCATGTTGATAAGAAGAGATAAATGAGTGGGACATGGTTCCTATTATTGGAATGTCATAAAGGAAGGAAGCATAAACGTTCGATGTGAAGTCGCAGCCAACTGCAGAATATCTAGTTCCACTTAGTGCACCATCTGGACCTTGGGCTCTCCTACAACCAAATTCAGCTAGCGGTTTATGATTTATAGAAATTTTATAAAGCATACTATTTGTAGCTATCAAGGTAGGATAATTTATCATATTCAGTAAGGCACTTTCTAAAATTTGACATATTAGTAAGGGGCCGTTTATTACCAGTAAGGGTTCATGAGGAAATACTATGGACCCTTCCTCCATACAATAAAGAGACACATCCTTTCCACTTAATCCTTTCAAATAATTTATGAACAAATCAATATCTTTGTAGTGTGACATTTTTTTTTTAATAAATTCTAACTGTGCTTGTGTAAATCGAAACGAATTGATATACTTTATAACTTCGTACACTCCCCCTAGTATTGCAAATTCTCCATTAAAGGGGCACTTCCTAAAATAAATTTCAAACGTGGAATCTTGTTCATGCTTCTTCTGTATAAAGAATGTGTAGGCCATTACCAAGTGGTAGTAATCCATAAACAGTGCATTCACTGTGTTGCTGTGTGGTATGTCTATATCTTTGTTAATCCTATTTTCTATTATAAACTTCGTGCAGTTAACCAAGGAAACCATTTTAAGTTTTTCCGCTGGGCAGCTGCTTCCTTGTTCGTAATTTAATACGTTCGAACATGTCCCATCGGATACTACTTCCGAGACTTCCATTTTACTTTTGCCCAATTTCATTGGGCACACCTTTACTGATGAGTCCACGCAGCTGCCATGTTTTACATGAGCTTCACCTTTTTCCTTTTTTAACATTAAAAGTTGTTTTAAATCAGATTCTGTAATTTGGGTATCATATATGTAGAGGCAGTTGCTCTTCTTATCAATCCTTACGTTATCCATTAGGTTGGAATTTGCCCCTAATATTCCATCGTCCTTTCCCTTCAGGTACGGCTGCTTAACAGTGGAACTGTCGTTCTTTGTGCTCAAATGGTCATTGCTCATTTTGGTATTCTGGGGGGATTATGTGCGCTCACTGGAATGTGTCGTGTATAGGGGAAAAAGCCCGCAAAATGTGCATACACATGTGTATGTATATGTGCTATGCGCTATTTGCGTAATGGACAGACTTATCACCTCGAATGACCAAAGGAGCTAGAAAGAAATGCGTTTTTTTAAAAGAAGTCACTTTTTTAATATTATATTCTTTCCCTTTTCTGCTGATCACACCTTTTGTTTATTTTTCAGTCTTCGGATAATGTACAATGGAAATCGGAGGTGTTTGACTTGGATGTATGCTATGTAGTCACTCGCACATACACATACATATGTGCGCTTGCTGTTGAATACACCTATGGAACAAAAAAGCTTGCAGCGATTCCTTTGCAGTCTAAAAAGGGGGGATAACAGAAAATGTTGAAAATTGCAATTCTGTAGGGTTATACGATGAACAAAAATTAAGTAGTGGTGTATATTTGTGTAGGTTTTTTTTTTTTTTTTTTTGCACAACACAATCAGGGATTATACAAACCAGATGGCACACAATTATAGCCAAAAAAAAAAAAAAAAAAAAAAAGTCCTTAATGAGCGTAAGTCAAGCCAACCGATTTTCTCCACAAAGTGTACATTCTGCCTAAGTGCTCTCCCACGGGACTAACGTTTAATGGTACAAAAGGTGCACATAGTGCTTGTGTTCACCCCTGTGGCATCTATTGCATTCATAAAGTACACATATATGTGCATACATGCCCGTGTAAAAAGGCTCATGACTTTGCACATAACGTGTGTACTTCTTACATTTGAATGAAAGTGAAATTTGTTCAGGTGAGCGAAGGGGAATCTTTGGAACCGTTAGTGTGCGAGGGCGATACGTACCAGTTTGACCTATAGGAAGAAGTATCACACATGTGCTTCACACTTTGATTTAATTTTTTTTTTTTTCTTTTTTTTTTTTTTTTTTTTTTTTTTTGGGGGGGCCCATGCATATAAGCCAAATAACTTGGACGTCACTCCTTTCCGATTATACAAAAGCGGGACGACGTATGGATAAATTTGGCCTCAAGAAAGTAAAGCCAACTTTCACTGCGCGAAATGGGTGTTCATTGTGCTTGCAAATTTCGGCCTCTTGTTGTGCATAGTGTTACGCATCCACATATACACATCGTCATGTATACCTCTCAACTGGGCAGCAGTTTTGTTATTGAATTTGTGTAGCAGGTGAAAAAAGATGCTAAAGTTAAATGATAATTTTTTCACTCCACAAATTTGGTGCGAATGATATCACGCGGATGGTAAAGTAAATGGAGAAACATGCGAACACGTGTATGTGCACATGTACATGGCACGTGTCTGCTGTTCGTACTGATGCCTGCAATCTTCATATGGCTTCGCTTATTATGCATATGAATATCAAGCTCAAGCATAGTTTGTTTGTAGGAGAATTGAAACTGATAAAAGTTGGGTAAACAACAAAAGGGGAATATTCCCATGGGGGGAAAAAAAAAGGAATACCATATATGTATGTGAGTACAAATATGCAAACAACGGCACACCACGGTAGGTACGTTATTTGTAACATTAAAAAATTATCGTTTACGCAGATGACCAACATGCACTTCTCTGGCCCGTATACGCTGAGCAAGACTTCTCAAAGCTACTATCATTATTTTTTCCTTTTTTGCACCCTGTTTGGAACACCTTCGAATAAATTTCTGGCCTTGTAAAACGGGTTTCCTTTTTATTTTGTGACACTGCGCGGGGATGGCACGTGCATCATGTCTGTGTTTCCGGATGCGCGAAGTGGCACCCGCATGGCGTTACACATGCGAAGTTA